TCTTGTGAGAGTTGAGGTTTGATGGAGGAGATCCCTTGGAAAGGAAGCTTGCGCACACCCCAACCTTGGAGACGGCCGGTTCGGGTCTTATCTTTATCTTTGTCTTTTCCTCCTCCCACCACACACCGCCAGTCACTTCCCCCCCCTCACCCCCCCAAACCTCCCCATCTCACAGCCCTCGTCGCCTCCCACATCGAACTTCCCACCTTCATCCACCATAGCCGCCGGTCATCTCAACCCGAGCCTCACACTCGACGCCCGGGCTCCTCCACCTAGCCGCCACGATAACCTCCCTATTCCCCCATTCATGTTGTTTCCTCATATTTTACGATTGAGTTGAATGAAGGGTAGGTTTGAAATTCAATTGATAATTGTCTGAATTTCAAAATTCTTTCCTAATTTTGTAAATCAATTTAGGAAAGTTTTAATTGAAGCATTTGAATTTCAAATTCGAAATGGATTTTCACTAAATTGAATTTCTTAATTTTCCAAATACCAATCAGGTTTCCCCAAATCCGAACTCCTCAAATCCCCTTGGCTCCATTAGTTTGCCCGGCCCATGAAATAATTCCTGGAAGGAAATTGTTTCTCTAAAAACCCCATCCCACCTCTTTGGGAAACTATTGAAAACCTCACCCTCTTGGCCGAATCCTCTGAACGTTAATTTCCTAAATTAATTCCTAATCATTACAGAAACTTCAGGAAGATTAAATCCCACCTCAGCCCCCTAATCCGCCAGCCACTTTCTCGGACTAACCAGCCCTCACCCTCCCCTCTCTCTCTCCCTCTCTTCCTCCAAATCTTCTCCCCTCTCATGAAATCTGTTTGGGAAATTAATTGTGCCCAAGCTTTCTCCAAGGAGTTCTACTTTTTAGTAAAGGGAATCTGAAATCTTTCCCTAGAGTTTAGCTAGAAAATCTGAACTTTTTTCAGATTTTGGAGAGATTGGAGCTTGCTTCTTCAATGTACACATGGATCGAACACTTCGAAGGCTTGAGGTGAAGGATCTCCACGTCTTCCTTAGACAAAGATTTCTTGAGGAAAATTGGGAGTTTGCTCTCTCTTTCAAAGCACAAGAGAAACTTCTTTCCTTTGAATCTTTTCAATGGCCTTTCCCATACCTAGATAGACGTTGAAGGCATCAAGTGAAATCTCCACGTCTCCTTAAAACAAAGGCTTTTCTCTTTCCACTTGGTATTGAATTTCTTCAACTCTAAGTTCTCAATTGAATGATGTAGTCACGAAGCTCCTCAAATTGCAATCTTGCCAAGGCTAGAACTCCATATTTGTAGGATGAGTGTAATCTTCTATGGCCATCCTACGTCATCATTGTTAGATTAGGAATTAATTTTGAAAGCTAACGTATTCTGTGTTGTTTTTCATCTGTGTTTAATTATCTTGAAACGTTCAAAATTTGGCAACATGTGATTTAACCTATGGAGATTACTCCTTCATTGTTTAGCTTGTCGTGGATAATTGCTAGTAATTTATTCTGAATTTGTTCTAATTTAATAGTTGTTGAACAAATGCCTAATGAACCCATTAACATGTCTTCCTAATTAGGTGCCTGCAATTACATCCCTTCCTTCGATGCTGTATTGCATATACCACCATCGCTCGGATAGCTTCCCAACCTTGCATTCGCGGCATTGAAGATCTGCTGTCATTACAGTGTTGTTG